AAATGCTAGTAGTATTAGCTTAGGGATGTATCTTCGGCCTGACATGAGATACAATGAATATTTTTAGTTTGCCAAAGAACTGCTTGAAAATATTTTTGGACTGCTGAGAATTGGGAAAGATTTTTATTATACAGTTATGCGATAGAACAGAGATATCAGAGTCGTTGGAACGAATCAGTGCTTGTAAACTACTGCAAGAATACTACAGAGGTGTCCCGAAGTTGAAGTTGAAGCAGCAACATGAGGCGCTTTTATGAAATACACACTTGATCAAGTTGCATACAGACAATACAGGTAACCATTTTTTTAAACAAGAAAACAGGTATACACGTGTTCTTAATACCTCATTAAATTAATTAACCTAGTCAGAAAACCGAGAATTTTTGAAGATTAAAAGGTTGTAGGTTACGTTGATAAGTAAAGCGGATGGAATCCAAGAAGGTGTCATTTGTCCTTAAATTATCGATTGCATCAAATAGAATAATTAAATAAAAATACGTCATTGATAACTATATGGTACTATTTTTGAAGTCCTGGATATTTTAGGGGGAAGTAAAGTATACATTTTTTAAGGCGGAGTAGGTAATGAGAGTGTGGGGAAGGAACCCCTCCTGGTTGGTAGACAGAAATAAATTTTCTTGTCAAGGCCCCAATTCGACCCTTAACCTTGCTAACTCCACTACTCAGTGTCCCGTTCAACACCTTAGATTCTGTTTTCATGTTTTCGCAAATTGTCTTTTAGATAAATAACGTTGTACGTTTGATTTATTTTTTTATTTATCTTCCTTCAATGTGAAATCAGAAAAAAAATTACTTCTTGAGATTCCGTGTTTGTGGTAGTTTTTAATCTTTGGTCTTTATTATTTATTTACTCACGCATTTATTTATATCCCTCCTCTTTTGCCTCTCGGCAACGCGGAATTTTGGTAGAATCATCGCGCTACTTCTAACACTTATTCTCAAATTCTTCTCTATTCTAATTCATTCTCATATATTGAAATGATGAATCCTTACTAATTCATTCCATCCATACGCGAAAGCTTCGAAGTACGGGCAATGTAATGCAATCCGTGATTATGTAGAGTCCAGTTTCCCTCAGTAGTTAGACCTTTATTTTCTCAAAAGCGGTGCAAGTAGTGACGACATGCTCAGCAATTTTTAGAACACTACAACAGGGACATGGAGAACATGATAAGGGGGTTTATATCCTTTTCTTAGTCATTTTCAAGTTTGGTTTTAGGAAAATAAATTATTATAGGCTCAAATAAAAGAAAGGAAAGAAGAATATTGATATTGAAGATAACACAATACATACCTTAACCGGTTAGTTAAGACCCCTTCTGAGATATTCTGTATTTAATTTACTTATGCTAACTAAAACCTTAGTCAAATAACTACTTTTATAAAGCCATTTTTTTTCTCGAGCTCAAAATATCTCCCGTAGTTTAAACAAAAACGTGAATGTTTTTATTTCATTAGTGTTATGATTTATAAGATCTAGACTTACATAATGTACGTATTATTGCTTCCCCACTACCGAATGTAGGGAAGCATTGTGTTCGTGTGAGATGTTAAAAAAAACAATGTATGCTCAGAATCGAAAATTTCCACTAGCGTTTTACGTTTCAGACATCAACGATCAAATTTGGTTCGTCGTCTGTCTGTAGTCAAATCGATGTAACAGGCATATCACCTACTACCGTTAATCTGATTTTCATGAAAATTTTAGGGATTGTGCGTGTCGGTCTCTAGATGGTCCTATATCAATTTCATCAAATCTCATCCAGCGCTTACGCTTACGCACCCGCAAGCGCATTTTTTAAGATATGCCAATATTTCAGAAACGGCTCGTTCGATTTGGCTCAAAGTTAGAAAAAAGAGAGGTATTAATAAAAAAATAATGTGCAAACGTGTTTTCCTTGATTCGTCTATCTCTCTAAAACCGCACGTTCGATTTGGTTCAAATTTGGAGGAAAGTTTGGGATTGGTCAACAGACAATTAAGTGAATATCAATTATATACATTTTTATCGACTACTCTAAAAAAAATATTTCCGCTTTCGGATCAGTAAAAGAAATTTGACACGCCTATAGTCTGAAAACGGCTATTTCAATTTGACTCAAACCTAGAGGAAATTTGGAGAACATTATAAAAATTGCATAGTATGAATTTCATTTAATTCCATTTAATAATTAAATTTAATATAAATAACTGTTAACAGGATAATGAATGTGAAATGTGGAACGCATTTATCATGAGTAATAATGGTTAGGTTAATACAATATTTTTATGTGGTTATAAAATTTAATTAGGTTTTATTCAAAAAGGTAATTTATACTGTATTGTTTGGTCGCTTACAAATGCTACCATGATGCTTACTGCCGTTATTTCGATTTCGTGTAATTTTCAATAAATTTACATTAATTCTTACTCTAAGTTTGTAAAAAAAAAGTAGTCATATTTATGATTGTGTTAATTTCTATTGAAGTTCAATCAGTTCGCCGTGGTTTCGATTTCATCCTTTATCATTAATGTATTCAGAACTTCACTTATATTTTTATATTCCAGCTTAAATTAGTTTTGTTCTGACTGAAGAAAAGTATTGGTCTCGTTAACTCCGAACATTTTTTGATTTTTTTGTTTTAATCAGGAATTGTTGAGGGATTACTGAACTTCCGAAAACGGCTTCCCCAGAGATTTTATTCCCATACGAAAAAATTTAGATCTTGTAAAGAAAATATTTTGTAGCTAATGAAAACGGTGAGGAAGCTATAATGACCTTAATTGGCAGACGTTTTTCTTATATATTTTTGGTGTTATGAATATCCATAGATAGTATGAGTTTTCTAAAAAAAAATATCAATTTTAAGGAAACTAAACAAAAAATATACTTTTCTATAAAAGCTGTTCTTTTTGTTGTTAATTTTTAAAATACTCAACAATACTTCTTTGGCAAATGGGAAAAGTGGTACCGAAAAATAGAAGTTTAATCCATTAATAATTTTTAAAATTAGGCATGTGGCTTTAAAATATAGTAGCCCTCCATAAAAAGCAAGTTAGGCTAAGTGGTGATAAAAAACCTTTTAGATGTGGAGGATAAATTGTCAATTTGATAGAATATGGGGTCCACGTTAAACCGTTATTTGAGAATTAGTATTGTTTCGTGGTTTTGTGGTCTCTAATAATTAAAGTTATTAGTAATATTTGGTTTGTTTTGACCAATTACAGATTTTTTATAATTTTAAAAGTTATTAGTAGTAATACATGCTCTCACAAGGAACAATAAAGGAAAATAGTTACAATGAGAAAAGAATACATTAGTATCATATTTATAATATTGATAATAATGAAGAGCATAGCATACCAGAAGGTTCGATGCCGACACCACTAATCGCTGTCTACACACCTCCCTTCACCGGCTCCCATCCAAACCCAGTCCCGCCAGATCAACCTTAACGCAATCTTCCTACCTTCACTTCGGTCTATCCCTTGGAGGTTTACCAGTCGCACAGCAAAGATTAAACTTTAAGAGATTCTTTCGTTACCAAACCCAACAATTTGACACACCAATTTTATTCTACGCAATGTAATCACATCAATTTTATTAACCAGATGCAGTTCCCTCAATTCAGCGTTGTGGAACCGTCTGAACTCTCCGGTTGGCTCATTCTTCTACGAACCGAATATTTTACGCAATACTTTATTTTTAAAAACCTTAAGACCCTCATCCCTTAATGTAAGAGACCACATTTCGCATCTATAAAAAAACGTAGATAGGGTAAAGGTTTTGTAAATTCTAATTTTCAAGTTTCCGAACACGAGGCACCAGCTAAATAGTTTTGTAGAAAAATAGAAAAATGACTAATATTTCTCACCTTCAACCTAACCTTAATCCCTATTTTTTCGAGTCCCACTTTTTATTAACGTTGTCGTATTTAGTTTTATAGTTTCCTAGTCTCTGCCAGGACCAAATCATCAGCATTAACAACCACGGATATAGTTCCACCCAGATGTTATAATAATAAATTGAACAAGATAGGTGAAAGAGAACCAGCTTGTGTTAAATCCGAGCTAACCTCAAACTTTTCGGATATATATATATTTTTTATTAACTTTATTTTTTTATTCATACCTGTCAGAAGTTCCGACAACTAGCGAGTGTTATGTCGAGGTGTAGAAGATTGGAATAGGTCTTAGAATAGGCGTGAGGGAGAGGAGTGCCCAGCGGCGTCCTTCCTGTCATGATTTTCATATTTGTAGTTAGTCGAGGAGATCCCTCATTCAGCTTCTTTTGACACTTCTACGGGTGTCAGTTGTTAGTTGTTATGTTAGTTGTGGCCAAGCCTTGAATCAGTGAGTTGGTATGTCCGTGTAAGTTATTGTGAAATCTTTTGTAGGATGTTCGTATGTGGTCGTTAACTGTTGGCACCTGCAGATCTTTATGTAAAGTAATGTTACTGACATACCAGGGAGCCTTGGTTATAGTCCTGAATGTTTATGATTGAAAAGGCTATAGTTAAATGATTACCGATTCTAACTTTATTGAATGTTTCGGTCAAGCACATCTTAACTAGATTTACAAAGTTTTTGGAATCGCCTGCTCAATTAGAATATTATGTAGCTTCTGGAGGTCAATTGAATCAAAAGCCTTTTTGAAATCCATATACAACTGGTAAACAACACCGTTTGACTCTATTACTATTATTTAGTCATTATTTTGGTTTTATTTTATTTATATTTAATATAAATGTCATATTTATAGGAAATATAAATAAAATAGAAACAAAATAATGACTGATGAAAATTGAAAACAAAAAATGCTAACTCTCTCAATCGCGTTACTGTTACTAAAAGCCAGTTTTAAAAGTGCTTATTTTTGTAAATATGCATGTTTGTTATGAAAGTATTAATTTTTTTAAAATTTTTATGAACTCTAGCTGGAATATCATTTTTTTTTTTTGTATACATAGTTTTGATTTTAGGTTTTATCCAAACAAATCTCACAATCCTGGTGTCCTACATTGAGGCTAAAAAAAAGAAAAGAACTAGAATTAATTCTTCATCTTTTCCTCAACAATAGGTGTTTTACAATACATGTAATGCCAAACGGACTGACGGAAGAGCCGTCCTCAAAGGGGAGTCGGATCGATGTGTGGAGGTTAGGAGGGGAGTTGGAAACTTTTTTCTTCTCCAGAGCTTAGCTTACCGGCCTTAGTGGATTCGGACTCAAGGCAGCCAATAAAGACCGTTTATCCTCTACTCCTTCATATAGTACAGCCGTCTGGGCCACTTCGGCCTCCCCCTGTACTTCTTCATCGATTTCACCGCTCTGATTTAGCCTTACATGATTCCTTGTAATAATAGTCCTTTAAATATAGTTTCCTTTAAATATTTTGAAAAAAATAAACAAAATAATTTTAATGATATAAAGTAAAGGCTGTATTTATTTCACTATGTTTATTTTCCTGTTCCTACTTCGGCTATGACGCCATTTTAAAATCATCTGTAAGACCCAATTTACAAATAGTTTTATACAAAACTGCATTTAACATGATATGAGAACGATTCACTTTGAATACTCATACAAGACTGAAACGACAAGAAACTGCCCGACGTTTTCGACTACTCCACCACCTATTAGACAAACGATCTAAACTTTCGACATATTACAAAAGACTTATATACATGACTTATGGAAATGAGTTTTGGGGCTCCACTAAACCATCGAATTTCTCTCGTATCCAATCCTTACAATCCAATGCTCCTTACTTTGTCACAAATAAAATCATCCATAACGACCTTAACGTACCATATGTTTCCGATTTAGCCCAATCCAGATACCTATCCTTCCATAACAAACTTCAAAACCATCAGAACTCTCGTTTCTAATCTTGCTTCCTCTTAGATACACTCCTAACCCCTTCGATACCCTTCTAACCCTCCAAGTCGTCTGAAAAGAAGATGGCCTCGTGATCTGTTTATGTAAATATATCATTAGAGTTCTACCAATGGGTAGTTTCTCAACAAGCGTTTTCATTTGATTGTATCATTCATGTGTAAACATGTACTAGATGTATTTATAATTTAATACAGTTGTACTCCAATCGTCATGAATAAACAAACAAAAAAAATGTGATATTATACTAAATGATAGTGATGTTAGCCACCTCTTAAAAACCAACATTGTATAAATTATAACCCGAATGGGGATGAGTCAGTAAGTTTATTTACAAATCAATTTAATTGAAATAAAAGACAAAATGAGAATATTATATAAATAAAATTACATATATTAAGGCAAGATCAGTCAGATACCAGTTCTTAGTGAATTTCAATATCCTTATTTAATTTAAGAATGCTCCATATGTTTAGTCCATAATTGGATTATAGTCTCTATGGTAGTATGTATTTGGAAGGTTACATATTATTATATTGTTATTTCTACTATGTATTATTGAGGTAGTATGTAGTAGTAAGATGAAAAGAGTACACACTCTCATAGAGACTATAATGTAATACTATATAGGAAAAGGAAAATAAACATGGTGAAATAAATAAGCCTTTACTTTTTATTGTTATGACTGAGTTTTTATGTTTTTAATTTACTCATCTTTAGGTTATGTTATTTTTTATTGTTCCAAGTTGTTTGATTATTATTTTACTTTTGTTAATTTGATGTTTTCTGTATATATAGTGTGGATGTGTTCATATCTCACTATAATTATTTTCCATGAGCTACGGGGCTCCACCAAACCTTCAAATTCCTCTCGCATCCAATCCTTACAATCCAAAATCCTTCGTAAAATCCTCAATGCTCCTTACTTTGCTACAAATAAAATTATCCATAATGACCTTAATGTCCCTTATGTATCAGATTTGGCCAAATCCAGATATCTGTCCATCCATAATAAACTTCATAACCATCCCAACCCTCTTGTTTCTAACCTTTTTTTTTTTTTGTATTTTTTGTATACAGTTGTAAATATCATATAAATAAATAAATAAAAAAATAAAAAATATTTTCCACGTGACAGATTATTATATTTCTAAATAAATAAAAAAACTTTATATTATTAAACATAATTTCACCTAAAACAATAAACATACATGAATTTTAACAATATTTAAACATAGGTACATTTCTCAATTGATTGAAAAAACATTTAGCAATTTTAATCAATTTACTTTTATTACAAATCTGTAAATTTTTACATAATTTCGGTTTGTGCAATTACTCCGATTGTTATATTCCGAATTTCATAAGTTTCTCTCGCCATATTTTTTTGGAACATTCTTCCTCTCACAATTTTCTTACAGCCATTCCCTTTTCTTTCTATACTCCGGCTTTTATGGGAAAACGTTTTTTTTTTGTTTGCCATCTGTCGCCTCCGATCCCTATTGCGTGGCGAAACCATTGAAACCTCCTGCCTTTAGTATATTTTTTTTTGTTATTTATTTATTTAGCAGTATAATATTCGGTTACTTGGACAATAACTATAGTGAGGCAAGACTACATTCACACTATATATAAAGAAAAAATAAAATATAGAGAAGCAAAATAATAATCAAAAAGTAGATACAATAAACAAAAATTGTTAATATTGAGTTTTATTCGTTACGCCGACGTTTCGACCTACTTTCTAGGTCTTCATCAGGGCGTGATAACAGGCACTGCAGGAAGCAGTTGGTAGACTAGTAGTCGATCTAAAAATATAGTGGTACTAGTTCATAACAGCTCCGCACGGATTACGCATGGTTCACAATCACTTCGATCACACTTGTTCCTGGAATCCCGAATGAAATGAAATGAAATGAAATGAAATGAAAATGAAAATGAAATGAAAAAAATGTTTTACTATTCTGGGACTGTTGTCCCTTAAGAACAAAATATGAATACAGATTATATGTCTGTGTGGCTAAAATTGAATTGTATATTTACAATGAAAGTTGACTTACGATAAAAATACAGAAAAGAGAAAAAAAAAGAACAAGTAAATTGTACATATGTATGAGAAACTAAAATAACCTTAATAAATTGAGGTACTCTCTGGTGGTGCTCAGATATTTCTCTGAGATATATTTCACAATCATTCGGATTGAGAAAGGAGTAGGTGCTTAAAGAGGAGTGGTTTAAACGAGGAAACTGATTGAGCGTGTCGAATATCAGGTGGGATGGAATTCCAGAGGGAGGCGGCTTGTATTGCAAAGGATTTGTCAAACGCAGCAGTTCGGTGAGGAGGAGGATAGAGGTCGGAAGTACGAGATCTGGTGGGACGGGATTGGATGGAATATTTGAATTGTAAGCTGTGAAAAATGTAGGAGGGTCGATGGGTTCTAATAATTTGGTACAGAAAGGTGGCTAGGAAGTACTGACGGCGATAGGATGGGTAGAGCCACCTCAACTCAGTGTAATACTGGGTAATATGCGTATCCCTTGAGATTCCGAAAACAAATCGTAGTGCGCAATTCATTAGGCGTTTAAGTTTGGCCTCGGAATCTCCCGGGAGTCCACCGTACACCATACAGCCGTAGTCGAAGTGGGGGAAAACAAGGGAGGAAACTAGGAGTTGACGGGACTTATATGGAAGGAGATATCGTAGACGATTGAACTGTTTTAGGGTGGAGATAGTGCGACGGGAAATTTGGGAGATGTGAGGTTTCCAGGATAGGGATTGATCGAAAGTAACACCTAGGTTTTTAACGGTGGTGTAGAATAAGATAGGTGAGTTGTTCAGGAAGAGATTGGGAGATACTGGGGAGGATTTGAGGAGTGAAGGGGATCCGATCAAGATGGCTTTTGTCTTCTCGGCGTTCAGAGTGAGCCTATTGAGGTTTGCCCAAGCACTTATTCTGTCAATATCTTCCTGAAGTTTTTGAGTGGCATCTGAGATATCTGTCGGATTAAAGGAGAGGTAAATTTGAATGTCGTCGGCATACAGGTGGTAATGACAGTGCAGGATAGAGGATGGGAGGTCATTTATATAGATGGAGAAAAGGGTGGGGGATAAGGAAGAGCCTTGTGGGACGCCTCTGGTCAGAGGTAGAGATTCTGATGGTGGGTTATTAGGAATTACAACGTACTGGGAGCGACCGGTTAGGAAGGATTGGAACCAATTAAGGGAACTAGAAGAAAAAGAGATATTTTTAAGTTTGGTTAGGAGGATGTTGTGGTCTACTGAATCAAAAGCTTTGGAGAAGTCTAGGAGAATAAGGATGGTTAGTTTCTGCTGATCTATGGCTGTGTGAAGGTCTTGGGAAATTTTGATTAGGGCAGACTGAGTAGAATAACCAGGCCTGAATCCAGACTGGTAGGGATTTAGGAGATTATTGTCCTCTAAAAAATGGGATAGCTGGGATTGGACTAACCGCTCTAATGGTTTTGAGAGGTTTGAAAGGAGGGAAATCGGTCGGAAATCATTAGGAACTGATGGGTTTGAAGTCTTCTTCAATGGGCGTACTAGGGCGGTTTTCCAGGATGTAGGGAAGGTAGCATTTTGAAGAGAATAATTGTATATATGATAAAGGATCGGAAGAATGGATGGCAATGCGGCTTTAATCAGTCTGACTGGGATGTTGTCGGGACCGTAATCATTGGTATGGGACTTCTGAATGGATTTAAGGAGCTCATCTGGTGTAATATGGGAAAGAAAGAAGTGATCAGGATTAAAGGAAGAGAACATAGGAGCCAGACTGGACGTGGGAGATGTGGATGCAAGAGGACAGGAGACAAAGTGAGCGTTGAGGTTATCAGCAGAAACGGAATTGGACTGAGACTGGGGTGTATTACCAATGGTCAGTTTTCTAAGAATAGCCCACGTAGCCTTGGTATTGGGAGAGTTGGATAGGGAATGATGGTAGTAACGGGATTTAGCACGGCGTACTGCTGATTGAGTGCTATTTCGAAGCTGTTTGTAGGAGAGAAAATCATCAGGAAGTCGAGTTCGTTTAAACCGTCGCCTTGCAGCATCTCTTTCTCTCATACACTCCCTCAAAGCAGGGGTAAGCCAAGGAGCTGGAGGATATCGGATGGTTTTTGTGATAAGAGGAGCATGTCGGTCGAGGATAGAGTGAAGTTGAGTGGTTAGGATTTCTACCATGGTGTCTATGGATTTTGAGGAGTAGATGGGATCCCACTGGATATCGTCAAGACCTTCTGACAATGTTTCGTGAGTGAGATAATCTAGGTTTCGGAAGGATATTGTTCGGGGAGAAAAGGATGGAACAGGGACATTGTAAGAGATCTGGACAAGATCGTGGGAAGATAGAAACGGAACCGGGTGCTGAGATGCGGCAAGGAGTTTGTCTGAGGAATCCAGGATAATTAGATCGAGCCAGGACTCTGAATACTGAGTATGATGGGTTGGATTGTAGGGTACTATGTAAAGGCTGAGAGAATTAAAGAGGTTTGTTAGGTAGGAATAATCAGAGGATGGTGCCAGTAAATTGGTGTTAAAGTCACCGGAGAGGATGATGTTTGAGTAGGAAGGGATTAAGTTGTACAATAAAGTCTCAAGTGATTCATCGAAAGGAATTCTAGGAGGGCGATATATGACAGCAAACAGAATGGCAGATGAGGTGGTGAGGATTTCGGCGAAAAGGTATTCAACGTGCGGAGAATCGGTTATGGAAGAGCAGTGAAGAATTTTGGATTTGAGACTGTCATGGACAAAGAGACCTACTCCACCACCCGTGCGATCTACTCTGTCATGACGAAGGAGAGTATAGTTAGGTAGAAGGATCTGGGAGGACGGGATTGTGGGTTTCAACCAGGTTTCGGATACGGCAATTAAATGGTAGAAGTTATGGAGAAAAAAGTCGTAAAATTCATCAAAATGGGCTAAGAGTGACTGAGCGTTGACGTGGCAGGTTAGAAGGATATTAGTCATGGAAGAAGGAGGGGTGGCTTGGTAAACGGACAGAAGGAGTTAAGGATAGGAATATTTCTACAGCAGCTAGAGCCAATTGTGTGCAAGATCTCCTAGATATTAATAAGGATGGTAAACAAAAAATATAAAATTTAGTTAACGAAAAGCATATTCCTATTGTGCAAAAGAAAAAAAATACACAAATTAGAGTTTCTGGACAGATCAGACCTAAAATATTCTCATAAACAAAAATGAAATTATTATCATAGTCTATTATTAAAACAAACGCAACAAAAACATAAAACTGGGGATATAAAAAAGTAAAAACAAAATTGTTCAAAGTGTTGTAACATGTATATGCATGTCAAGCAAACGTTTCTAAATCTGATGGTGAGTTGATGACGACGACCTGCTGTCCATCGTCTCGTCGACATTTCACCTTGCCTGCGCTAAACCAACTGTACCTGATTTTTCCTGCAGACCTCTTTTGCCGGGCCAGCCAGTACAGGTGTCTGTTGGTTACGGACATAGCTTCGCTCAGGTAGATCTTGTGGGCGTCATTTTCTTGCCATCCGAGGTGACGTGTTGAAAAATCCCTAATGACTTTTCGCCTCTGGATCAACTCATCCCTAAGCGACTGCCGGACGAACCTTACCACAAGCGGCCCAGGTGTATCGTCTTGCCTGTTTCTTATCCGTTCTGCATAGTCAATGTCCTCCACCTTTAGACTAAGGCCCAGGCCCGCCCCCACGCTCATAACCAGGCCCATCGGGGTCTCTCCAGATCTCACTGGGACTCCTCTTATTTCTATTGACCTGGAAAGGTGCAGTTGCTCACTTTTATTGAGCCTGATTTCGAGCTCCGAGACCCGAGACTTGAGAGTCGTGTTTTCCAAGACCAGTCCGTCAATCTTGGAATTTTGAGCCGCCAGTAGTGACTCTATAGAGTCTAATTTCGCCGCATTCTCAAAAGTTATGGATGCTTGCTTTTCGAGAGATATTTTTAATTCTTTCACCTCGTTAGCATTGGCATCGAGGGAGAATTTTAATCCCTTGACCTCTTCTGTTAAATTTTTAATGGCAGCAAGTAACAGTTGTGACGTGCTGTCGACAGTTTGTTGTTGTGGCGCCGATCTTGGCGGGCTGAGACACTTGTCTGTCGGTTGGATATTTTTCCGTGCCTTTTCACATTTCGGGCATTCCCAATTTTTTCGTAATGCCCTCAGTGCTTCAAACTCACTCTCGTCTGCGTTTAGACATTTTCCATGGAAAATGGCTTGACATGTTGGGACAGTGCATGCCATTGTTTTTTTTTCTTCTCTTGCTATGGTCTGTTTACAGATTGGGCATAAAACCATCTTGATAAGCGAGAGAAAAGAAGAAAGAGAAAAAAAAAATTACGTAAGTAACGTGGTAAAAAAATTGACGTTATCCCAACCTTGTCACTGGAAACACTGAGATATCTAGTACCTAGTCCTATTTATGCGCATGCGCTCCCCACCTATATTCTTATCTAGAATGCCTGCAATAAATACCTTAAGCCGACTAAAATTATGATTTTTCCTTTCTTCTTCTGACGTGAAACGGCGTTGTATTGAAGAATCTTTCCTGTCTGTGGATATAACACGATTAATAGTTGGTTCTAACCAAAAATTATGTCCGAACTCCATCTAAAAACTGCGAAAATCACTAACTATAAACTGACTGAACTTTTATCATACGCTCTGAACTGAGGTCTAGACCACACTCTATTCGCATTCGTGTTTCTCCAGAGAACGATGGCGACCGATCTCTTGGGCCAGTTACTATTAACTTTCCCGCCATTTAAGTACCTTAACCACATTCAGTTATATAGCAGGAGCAGATTTACATTCGAAATTTAGGCTACACATCATGAAACCTGATTTGAGCTTGTACATATATTATAGATCTGTAAAAAAGAAATAGTAATACATAAAAATCTTTAATTATTGCATCTCTGGCTGCTATTTCATGATATTATTTTTCTTATAGATGATTTCCAATATTCATTATCTTGGAATTATTACATATTCTTCGTCAGTTGTTTCCCAAATACGTTAATTCCTTTCTCGAAAATAAATACTTTTTTTTGTACCATAGCCTACAATAATCCCTTTTTTCGGATTACCAAGAAAAATAACTGCGAATAACAATAATTACACATCATAATTACAAATCAGACAGTATATGCATACAAAGCGCCCCCTCCACTAGAAAATAGCCCCTCGTATTATTAGAAATCTAAAAAAATACATAAACTAGATAGACGATTGCGCAATTCTAAAAAAGGCTTGCTAAAATAAATTATAAATTCAATTATTCCAACTTCTATTGAAAAACTCGAATAACAAAAAAAAAGATAATAGATAACTTAAAATTATTTATTATCCAAATGATAAAAAATCTTTTATGCACAGTTATAAAAGATAATATACAGTATATGCGTATTTACAGCCACTACATGTAAGCACTAGTCAATAAAAATGTTATTACTAAAAGCTTTTTTTTTAATAGGGCTTGAAGAAACTACTCAAACATTATTTTATGTATTTTTTTCTTTTTCTTTCAAAGTAATAACCGTTATAATAAAAATTAATAATTAACTAATTAGTAAATACACAATTTTTTAATTAGGAAGTTCCATAAAGGGAATACGTTGTATTTTTTTCAAAAATGCATGAAAAGGGATTGTATTATGGGGCAATAGCTGACGTCATAAAAGACGACAACATTCGGCTGTTTTCGGGATTCCATGAACAAGTGTGATCGAAGTGATTGTGAACCACGCGTAATCCGTGCGGAACTCTTGTGAACTAGTACCAATATAGTAACTTAAACATAAGTAAAAAAAAAAAACAAAAACAAAGATAGACCTATGCTATACAATATAACCTCTAAGAGTACTCTTTAATACTACTTGATGTGTGCTCTAGCCTTGAGATGTTGCAGCTTCTTTTTAGAAAATCCGTCTCTAAAGTTTATAGTTTCTTGGAATATTGATATTTTATTGTCTTGGTTTTAGCACAATATAGGACTGTTATAATAAAAATATGTATGTATTTTTATGTATGTACTGAATCAGTCCCTCCAGTAATGACGTAGGCGAAACCCCTATAGAACTTGACAAATTAATGTTCACTGAACATATTAATTACAACATTAATGATGAACACATAACGGAGGACTCATCAAGGTTTGAAAATGACCCTTAGTATGGTCGAAACGTCAAAATTAATGCGTATCAATAAAATATTGGTGATAAATGGCCTTATTTATTGTAAAGAATAAAAAACTTCAAGACACCAAAATTAGGAAAAATGAACAGAAGAAATGTATGTATTTATTTTTTTATTTATACGGAAATATTCTTATTCCATAAGATCGAGTTGATGATCCCAAAAATCTTTATTCCACGTAATATCTTCGATGAAATATCTGCAATGACTAAATGGTCATCTGAAAATTGCAAGGTGAATAGGAAGTCCTCATCATCCTTCACAGCTATATATTTGCAATTTTCCTTCCATTTCTTTTGGACTTGTTCGATAAACACGTTAAAGAGGGAAGGTGATAAGCTGCAATCCTGGTTTAAGTCTTTGGTGGTGTTAAGTGCTGAGGATAAACGATTCCCACCCTCTCATTCGCTTCTGGACCCCTTTAATTAAATCTTCACTGATATCTTCCAAACCCAATGCTTCCAAGAGCTCTATACAAATTTCGTGCTTTATCCATTTCCAACAGTTGGGCTTTAATGAATGCATGATCTGTACCTGAAAGATCTGGTCTAAAACCTGTCTGTTAAACAGGAATTTTATCATCCATACACATCAATTTTTCGATACCATATAGACATCATAGGTTGCCTGAAACTTAGTGTTGCCCAAACGCAAGACCAGACCGAGGCACTCTTGGTCTTGCACACTCAGTCTTGGATTTGCGCAAGATTGACAATATGTTACCTATTAGCTTATTGCTATTTATTACATACGTTATTTTATATCTTAGAAAAAAACTACAGAATAGGTACATTTAGAAGTTTATTGACATAAACATAAAGTCCAACTAAATTAATAAAATTAACTTGACAATACATTAAGGTATTATCAAGAAAGATAGTGATAACCTCCCTCCCTCCTCTCTCTTCCGATTTTATGTAATGGAAGAGTTGTATAGTAAAGACAATCTATAGCTGTTAGCATTGTTACCTTATAATTTGGAAAAATTCCAAATCCCACAGCTTTATGTTTCCAAAATTAAGGCAAAAAAAAACCTGTCAACGTTTCGGTAATTCAGGCATCATCATGACAGAAAAGAACAGCTAATCGAACATCACTCCATGACATCCAAACGCATACTCTGCTCATGTGGTTTAGAATTTTGCTAAATTATAACTTATGTTTCTAACGCCTCTTGACTTATTTCACTTCCACCATTAGTCTTCTAGCGACAACGGGGCTCTTCTAGGAAACAGCTGTGGTCGTTTGGTTCTGTTATATAAATATTCAGGGAGCACGTGGATTATAATAACTGGACGCGATCCCAAATCACTCCAAATTGATTTTACTGCAAGACCGCAAGAGTCTTGCAGGTCAATCTTGCAGTATTGCAAGTCTTGCAGGGTCTGGTCTTCCTCATGGTCTTGCATCAAATAAGACTGCAAGACCTGTTCAAGACTACAACCTGTGCAAGACTGTTTAAATAATTTAATGTTATTAAGATTTTTACTTATAACAGATATAAGATTTCTCTAATAATAAGTAAGGCTAATATTATATATAGTTGTGAATGCATTTTAGAAGAATTTTATTTATTTATGTTTTAATTTTTGTATTTACTTTTAACTTACTTTTGTTATCTACAGCCATATTTTTTGTTCTACTTTTATCCGTGTACTTTTTTTAGTACTACTTATTGTTATTTTATATTTTGTTTGTTCACTTTTATTTAATTTGTTTTATTTATTATTTTAATTTGTTCCGTATTACTTTCATTTATTTTTCTTTTATTTATATACTGTATAAGTTGATACTTTTAACTCTATTGATTATTGCACTTGAGTGTGGCAGATCATGTTAATATTCAATAAATAAAAAATTAGTAAGATAAATCAAAGGCGTGACAATTAAACTCAAAATTAAATTTCTTTGAGCCTTTATAGATGAATAAATAAATATGAGCTTTGTTATGCGCATAATTAGAACAGAAAATTAAGAAATAAAATGTTTTTTTTTTTATGATTCAAAGGTATTTAATAATATTTGGAATTAATTAGGTGCGCTTTGATTAAAAAATAATCATTTTTATTTATTATAAAACTTTTATTCATTATTATTTTAATTTCAAATTGATGTTATGTAGAAGATTTATGATTATATTTCTGATATGTATTTATACAGTTGTTTTATCCAGCTCATTATTAATAAGGCCTCTAATTTTACTAATTTAGACTTAAATATTCAACGCTGCCGAGTTAAATATATGTTAACTATGCGTATTATTGCTTATAATTAACTCAATATTATTTCCCACGGATATGAATTATGCATTTATCCATTAATTTCTGTGGCTTATCATCGCTCTTTCGCGTGTGGTAATGAACGCCTTTAGGGCAATACATCATTGTCATCTACCTTGATGACCAGAACAGATGATTTCATGTAATTTTCATTTCCCTGGGAGTTAACATTAAAAATTTTTCACGTGAAAATTATTTCCTTGATTTAAACAGTTAAAATGTTTTAAGTTGTTTTTAAAAAAAACTTTTGATGCTTTTATTGGAATATAAAACGATCAAATCTACCTTAAATTGTACGCATTCAATGGTAAGAGTAAAGTATTATTTAAATTACCCTTTAAACACTTTCTTTTGAGTAAATTAGTAATCGTAAACATCTATCATGTAATTGATGATAACGTCACAATCTCTGAAACAATTCGCAGTACAGTCCCCTTTTTATAAAATTAATAATATCCGTATAAAACTTATCACAGGAATTCGAGACGAACCTAGGTATCCGTCAAGGTCTTAGTTTAAGAAAAGCTAAATTTCGAATGAGACCGTTTCAGTTAGGGTATAGCAATCTACAACCCACGAAACTTTTCGTGTTAGTATTCGCTGATGACCTAGTCTTGCTGTCCTCAAACTACCGAGACCTTCAATGTAATATAAATACTCTTCAGGAAGAAATAGGCGCAATCAATACGACAATTAACCCAGAAAAAAAACAAATGTATGCGAATATGGAAGAAACGCAGTAGAATAATGAGAGTCATAAGAGCGGAG